TCCTACACACACTAACAGCCAGAGGTGGGAAGTAGTGGAGTACAAATACTTCGTTACTGTACTTAAGTACATTTTTCTGGTATATTTACTCCACTACTTGTTTTTCTGACGACTTTTTACTTTGACTTCTTACATTTTGACCACAAATACCTGTACTTTCTACTTCTTACATTTTGAACACAAATACCTGTACTTTCTACTTCTTACATTTTGAACACAAATACCTGTACTTTCTACTTCTTACATGTTTGAACACAAATACCTGTACTTTCTACTTCTTACATGTTGAACACAAATACCTGTACTTTCTACTTCTTACATGTTGAACACAAATACCTGTACTTTCTACTTCTTACATTTTGAACACAAATACCTGTACTTTCTACTTCTTACATGTTGAACACAAATACCTGTACTTTCTACTTCTTTCATGTTGAACACAAACACCTGTACTTTCTACTTCGTACATTTTGAAAACAAATACCTGTACTTTCTACTTCTTACATTTTGAACACAAATACCTGTACTTTCTACTTCTTACATTTTGAACACAAATACCTGTACTTTCTACTTCTTACATGTTGAACACAAACACCTGTACTTTCTACTTCGTACATTTTGAAAACAAATACCTGTACTTTCTACTTCTTACATTTTGAACACAAATACCTGTACTTTCTACTTCTTACATTTGAACACAAATACCTTACCTGTACTTTCTACTTCGTACATTTTGAAAACAAATACCTGTACTTTCTACTTCTTACATTTTGAACACAAATACCTGTACTTTCTACTTCTTACATTTTGAACACAAATACCTGTACTTTCTACTTCTTACATGTTGAACACAATACCTGTACTTTCTACTTCTTACATGTTGAACCCAAATACCTGTACTTTCTACTTCTTACATGTTGAACCCAAATACCTGTACTTTCTACTTCTTACATGTTGAACACAAATACCTGTACTTTCTACTTCTTACATTTTGAACACAAATACCTGTACTTTCGACTTCTTACATTTTGAACACAATACCTGTACTTTCTACTTCTTACATTTTGAACACAAATACCTGTACTTTCTACTTCTTACATGTTGAACACAAATACCTGTACTTTCTACTTCTTTCATGTTGAACACAAATACCTGTACTTTACATTTGACATTACTTTACATGTTGAACACAAATACCTGTACTTTCTACTTCTTACATTTTGAACACAAATACCTGTACTTTCTACTTCTTACATGTTGAACACAAATACCTGTACTTTCTACTTCTCACATTTTCCAAACAGGCTGGTTCCTTTAGTTTGAATGTGTGTTTGGTGGCGTGATCATTATTATTTAGAGTCATTGCGTGCCTATTGATTTGAACACGATCCGTGTATCCATCATTTCCTGGTCTTCTCTAAAGAAGAGGGACCAATGAAAACGTTGTCATGTTGCCGTTGTTCAGCATGGAAACATTCATTAGCTAACAATGACATTATTGTTCTATTAATATAAAGGGAGGTCAGGTACTCTTTAAAACAGCTGCTAGTTATGGGTACTTTTTACTGAAGTACATTTCAAAGCCCTCTTTACTTTTACTTGAGTAAAGAAGTTTAGTCAGTACTTCTACTTTTACCAGAGTATTTTTAAACACGAGTATCTGTACTTCTGCTTGAGTAAAGGATGTGTGTACTTCTACTTGAGTAAAGGATGTGTGTACTCTCTCCATGTCCTCAGGGGGTAAACTCCGCACATTAAACCCCGAAAGCTGCGTTTTAAATCACAACCGCAGCGAAGAACAATAAAGGTGGTGGTGGTGCTTCAAACAGCAATAAATCTTCCCCGGGTCGGAAGTTTTTCTGATTTAAAATGTCGGTGGGGGAGAAACCGTAAAGGAAGTCATAACTGCAAAGTCACTGGAGAGGAGGAGAGCCGAGGGTAATGTGGAGGAGAAAGAGAGAGAGAGAGAGAGAGAGAGAGAGAGAGAGAGAGAGAGAGAGAGAGAGAGAGAGAGAGAGAGAGAGAGAGAGAGAGAGAGAATAGAGAGAGAGGATAGAGAGAGAGGAACAGAGATAGAGCCATATATATCTACCGAGACAGAGAACATATACATATATCTATATATCGTATCTATATAGCCTCTATCCTATCCTCCTCTCTCTCTATCTCTCTCTCTCTCTCTCTCTCTCTCTCTCTCTCTCTGAGAGAGAGAGAGGATAACGCCACACTTTGCTTTGAGATGTCAAACTAAGATCAGCAGAGCGTGCTTTCAGTCCTTCTGCAGACAGAGTTATAATAACCTGATCTAAGAACTGCTTCCTTCCTCCTCACTTTCTGATAGAGATGGAAGTTCACAAAAGAGGCTTCTGGAAGTATGGGAAGTGATCCCATAACTCCCTCTGTTTCAGCCCGTTTCCAAAGTGCTGATTCTCTGTCTGTTACTTTAGATTAAAATAAGGAAGCCCCTCCCCCGCCCCTCGAGAGAGTTTGGGTTACAAATAACCAATGGTTCAGATTCAAGTGATAAGGTGAGGGGTAACCCTGGTTGCTGAGTGGGCTAATGGTACACAATACAAAAAAAACATCAACAAATGACCTAATCGATTCGGCTGTAGTATTCATACTGTGATCACCCTCTGTATAATGTGCACTACATATACTCTTATGGTAGTATTCATACTGTGATCACCCTCTGTATAATGTGCACTACATATACTCTTATGGTAGTATTCATACTGTGATCGCCCTCTGTATAATGTGTACTACATATACTCGTATGGTAGTATTCATACTGTGATCGCCCTCTGTATAATGTGTACTACATATACTCGTATAGTAGTATTCATACTGTGATCGCCCTCTGTATAATGTGTACTACATATACTCGTATGGTAGTATTCATACTGTGATCGCCCTCTGTATAATGTGTACTACATATACTCGTATGGTAGTATTCATACTGTGATCGCCCTCTGTATAATGTGTACTACATATACTCGTATAGTAGTATTCATACTGTGATCGCCCTCTGTATAATGTGTACTACATATACTCGTATGGTAGTATTCATACTGTGATCGCCCTCTGTATAATGTGTACTACATATACTCGTATGGTAGTATTCATACTGTGATTACCCTCTGTATAATGTGTACTACATATACTCGTATGGTAGTATTCATACTGTGATCACCCTCTGTATAATGTGTACTACATATACTCGTATGGTAGTATTCATACTGTGATTGCCCTCTGTATAATGTGTACTACATATACTCTTATGGTAGTATTAATGCGAGTACTATCTGTCCTTACACTCCTACCACTTTCTCCCACATTAGACATAGAATTTTGCTTCAAGAAAAACCTAACAATGAAGATATTCTGGCTTTTTTCTCACTTTCTTCGTGTAATCTCTAAAAGCTGCTTTGTTTCATGATGCATGTTTGATTTCCATAAACCCCTCCGCCTCATGCTGTCTCACTTTCTCCCCCTCAGTCTGCAGAGTTGATGTTTTAATTTGCGGTGAATGAGACACATCCACGCTTCTCGTTAGGGCAGTCAACCCCCCCCGTGTTGCAGAGTGTTCCTCTCTCTCGTGTTGTTGGGAAGTTTCTTCTGCAGAAACAGCGTGGAACAAAGCGTCACGGAGCGCCCCCTCCTCTGATTCAAGATTCAAAGGTTTTATTGCCGTAAGCTACAGCGTAGAAATGGCAATGAAATTATTCTGACCTGAGCTCCTCCGACAATGCAACATATATAATGAAATGCAAAAATAAAAATACAAAAAAAGTGTCTAGTTCCTTAACGATCAATCAAGTATTCAGATAATTGATTGTATTTTTATGTCTACTATCGATCCCAGTTTCTCAAATTCTCTCAAAATGTGGATTTCTCAGACTAAAATCCAAAGATATTCACTGTAATGTGATGTAAAACCCAGTGAACAGCAACATTTCTTCGATTTTAGAGACTTAAAATAGCAGTTTCCTTAACGATTCATCAATTATCAAGATATTTGTCGGTATTTGATTTGCCTAGCGTCGATCCCAGTTTCTCAATTTCTCTCGAAATGTGGATTTCTCAAACAAAAATCAATGAAATTCTTCTGACCTGAGCTCCTCCAACAATAAGACACCAATACATAAATAAAGAAGAGTGGTAAAAGCAGAGGTAGTAGCGATGACAGTGCAACGAGATAAAGTTCAATGTCAATGTGCATATTGTGTACACTTACAGTCTAAATATATATCAGTAAAATAGCCTTAAACATTTCTAAATAGTAGTGGTAGAGGTATAAGAAGTCTATATACATGTTAATAGAATATGATATGCACAAGAACAGAATATGAAATTAAATAATGTACATTAAAGGGGACCTATCATGCAAAATGTACTTTTGTACGTCTTTTATACATGAATATGTGTCCCCGGTGTTCCAGGGAACTCACCAAGTGTCAGAAAACACAACCCTCTCTATTTTCCTCCATACCCAAATCTCTAAAAAAGGGGCTGCAATGGATCTGATAAAAACTGATCCAGATTTGAACACTGTCCTGACGTCAGGACGGTGGCACTACGGCTATTGGGCCAACTCCACCAATCAGGAGGAGACAGCCACGGACATTGCCGTTCGAAAGCGCTGGAGACGCTGTAGTACATATGCCAGGCCTGTAGATGGTGCTGTTCTCACAGAATCAGCCCTTGCAAAAACAGAGCTAACATTTTTCAAATTGAGCGAAATGAGGCATGGCTAAAATGCATGATCTGTTTGGTATTTTGAAAAAAAAAAATTATAAATATGCCTTAAGAACACCGACAGGCAGATCAGGAGCCCGACGCGAAGCGGAGGGATCTAGATCTGCATGAAGGTGTTCTTTTCCCCATAATGACCAAGTCGCTGCACATTATCCCGCTTATTACACGGCCACATTCTCAACAAAGTAACGATATGACTCCCAATATTAATTGAAATGCTTTTATTGTTTTAGAAAATGTTTTTAATGATTAAAAACATAGTTGTAACTGATTTAAAATGACATTCATCCGCTACGAAAAATAGTCCGTTGTTGATGTTTGAACTAGGCTGTTGCAACGGCAGGAACTGCTTCGATAGCAACTAACTCTGTGCATGTTAGCATTTGAGCCTTAGCTGTAATTAACATTAACCTGAACGTTTCCATTAATAGTACAATGTGACATGGTGAATGGGAAATCTTTAGGGATATTGAGATCAACGTTTCTGTCCTCGATCCTCTCTCCTTGCGGGGGTTTCGCAGATGACACATCTGAAAGCACAATTCCCAACATGTAAAAAAACGGGAAACAATATTGCCACAGTTGTATCGCTACCGCTAATGTGTGTGTAAGGACAGACAACATGGAAAGGCACTGACCCGATGTGGTGCTATTTCCTGGGTTGGATGACAGGATGTTGCTCCATTTCTCCCTTTCGGTTATTGTTGGAGCCCAGTAACTCTTCAGGCTGCTCTCGCACCTGTGCCCAGTCACAGACATGATCTCTTTTGATCCAAGACCAGCCTGAGAGAGCAGTTGTACAGCCGTGCTTCTCAAGCTATGGTTTGTGTAGCGCTTTGAAAGCTGGGCTGCCTGGCTTATTGTGGGTAGCATTTGCCCAAGGAAATGATGTCCCATGGGCTCACGTGAATACCACACTGATTCACCGTTGAGAAGCTGTTGGTCCTTTTTTAGTGGGTGAAGGTAGAAGGCTTTGGCGTCAGATGGGCACAGGGAAACATACTTTTTGAAGCTGGCAACGGGGCAATTTTGGTTTTCAGGCTCGGCGAAAATAAAACCTCTGTCATTCTCTTTATTCGTGTCTTTTGGATCTTTATGATTTTTGGTATCGGCGTTGTGGGCAAGAGATATATATTCGCATCCGTGATCATCACGTTTCAAAATAAAAGAGCTTTGATTCAAATGTCGATTTCCCTCTCTGCCTCGTCTGGCAAGATGCAGTTGGACATCCATCCACACTTTCCGGACCAGTCCGCCGGCTGTGTTCACAGACAGCGCCTGTGAAGCCCTGAGCAGCCGCAAATCCGCAGCTGAGATAGGCGGGTGGTGCTGGCTGACGTCTTTCCCGTTTTTGCGGAGCTTTTTTACAACAGATGTGAAAACATCGTTGCTTGCTTTAAAAGTAGCGCAGTTCATGATGTCAAACCTTGGAAAAGTTCTTGATATCCCTGCCCTAATGCCCAAGTAACTGGCAACTGAATAGGTTTTGCCGTTTGAGGTCTGGACCGTTGCATAAAAGGACCGCAGCTGCGTGTTCAGGGTTTCTGCTCCATAGCTGTCAAACTCTGTTGGTTCTTTTTTTTCAATCAACCAGTCTTTAAATAGTTTCATAGCCCATAATGTGTTCCGTTTTGTATTCAATTCATGCCTGTCCTCTTCAATTTGGTCGATTTCTCTGTCATTCAAATCTCGGTGTCTTTTCGCCTCTCTTACTTCTCCGCTGTTTTCTTGTCCCTCTTGTCTTTTTCTTTTCTTCACTGGGGACTCATCAGCCACTAACCATTCCTCCAAATTACTGTGCTCTCCAAATATATTCAAATGAATGTTAAAATCCTCCATGTTGCTATCACACGACAGCGGAAAACTAAAGACAAGCAGACAGTTTGCTTGCTTTTCAAACTGTTACATTTGAAAAACAGTTAAATGACCGAACTTCTTTCTGAGCGTCTCTTGTCTTGTCAGTTCGAAAAGCAAACTGCATGCAGTTTGCTTTTCAGCCAAACTGTATACAGTTCAATCGACCGGACTTCTTTCTGCAGATTTGAGCGTCCTTAACAACGGTCATAAATCCTTGACAGCGGTCTGTCTGTTCTGGATTAACAACGTGTCACGTGTTCTGAATTGACCAATCAGAATCGAGTATTCAACTAAACCATGTAATAAATTTGATTATTACATGGTTTAGTTGAATACTCGATTCTGATTGGTCATCTAGACCGCTTCGCGTCGGGCTCCTGATCTGCCTGTCGGTGTTCTTTTACCCATAATGACCGCGTCGCTGCACATTATCCCTTACATAGCATGATAGGTCCACTTTAAGACAGAATTAAATATGGTTTATTGCGTTGAAAACGGTTTATTTATCTGCTGCAGGATAACAGGCAAACACAATGTGGATAAGGAGGCGTGCTGTCAGCTGCAGATGTTTCTCATGCACATTTACTGACAAACAATCCCTCCTCCCTCTGATTGCAGTCGTTGTTTCACTCCATTACAGAAGCCTTTGTTTGTAAAGCTGAATACACCATCAGATGAACAGGATCTGCTCTCTGTTATTACACTGGGAGCCACTTTCACTCAAATGGCTGAATCACAACGAGTCTCAGATGTTTTAATGTTTCTGCAGGCTGTGCTGCGTTCAGGGACGCGTTGTTATTGTTTGTTTTTTATACTTTAAGAAGAGCGGAGGTCCGTCGTCCAAGATCGTTACTTTTATTATCTGATTTTATGCAGTTTTGTTTGTGCAAGTAAGTAAACACCCTAACTATACAAATAATTATAAATATATTTTTGTTTTTTAACGCTCTATTAATTTGCTTTTTCACATACAACACAATTAAAGGAGAAGATACAGTGCAAATGCAGAAAACAAACAACAACAACAACAACAACAAGATGACAAAACAGTAATGATAAAGTAAAAACACCATTACAGTAATAATAATACAATTAAATAAGTAAAACAAAATGCACAACATGATAAGACAGAAACAGTAAACCCCTAAGACCAAAAGAACAATATTTAACATTCTTTTATTTATTCTAGAATATTTTGACAATAGGTTTCAAATATAATGAATAGATTTTTAGGGTGAAATGCAGTCTTTGACACAACGTACACAGCTCTTTAATATGCAGGATATGGACATGAATGATCTCTTTAATCCACATGATAGTCTGCTAACACTGATGCCAAATCCCTGCAACAGTCAATAAGATCTGTGTGTGTGTGTATGTGTGTGTGTGTGTGTGTGTGTGTGTGTGTGTGTGTGTGTGTGTGTGTGTGTGTGTGTGTGTGTGTGTGTGTGTGTGTGTGTGTGTGTGTGTGTGTGTGTGTGTGTCAGGTTTAAGCAGCTCAGATAAACGCTGGTTTAAACCTCTTGGATGTGGATGTGTTAGTAAATGTTCCTCCAGGGATCAGAGCTGTGTTGTTTGGGGGGATCTCCATAATCTGAAGGCTAATTACGATGTTTCCCAGAATGCATCAGTGTCTGGCTGCTGAATATTGATCCGAGACGGTGAAGGTTAGCTCCGTCACTCTGGAGGAGCGCTGCTTCCTGAGAGGACTGGACCATTTATCCCAACATGGACTCAGAGTCTTTCTCTAGGCCAGTGATTTCAGCCTTTTACCTGTTGAGCCCTGAGCCTGTTTTTCAGGCCTCAGGCTCGAAAATGACTTTCCCAGAACAAATGACCATATCTTCACTTCTAAAAGGGGTAAATTAATAATCTTTTTTCTCAAAGCAATGATAAACCTGTGAGTTGGATGTAGAAAAGTCAGAATCAACATAGAATTCTTTATTTTTGAAGTAAATTCAGATTGAACATAGTAAAACAATGTAAATTATAGTGTCCGTCCAAAAAAATAACATTACTTATAGTGAAAACCACCCTTGAATGATGGGATAGGAGACTAAAAGCTTTAGGAATCCAAACTGTAACATATAATAAGTACCCTGTATCAAGATTGATGCAAAACAAGTGACATTTGACCTTTTTATAGAGGTTTAGAAAAAATAAAACACTTCTGGGGTCATTTGGGTGTATTTGCCGTTTCTCTGGAACCCATTGGTCGATTTTGGTGATTGACACCTCTTTTGAACCGTTAGAGCCAATAGAATCGAGGGGAAGTTCCTAAAATCCATCTAATCCCCTAACCCCTAACCCTAACCCTTTCCATTGAGCAGTGAGTGTGATGCGCACGCAGCTTGCCCAAACCAAAAGCTACGTTACGCTCTGAAAACTGAAAACTGAAAACTGAAAACTAGGCTTATTGATCATACATTTTATGATGGATTATCAGTAATCATTTAAAAGTGACACAGAGACATTGGATTAACCTTCAGCAGCGTTTTTATAATTGTAATGCCATTGAACACAACTTTTGATCAGAAAACAGCAAAGGTAAGAGTTATTTGCCGTTTCGGCTCTGTAAAGTGGAGTTGTGTGTTGTCTTTGCTGGCTTTCGCTGCCGCAAGTTTTGGTCGCTCAGTGATGATACTTATATCATTGGAATCTGTGGAATCTCAGTTTGTGTAGATCCGATGAAGTATAAAAGATCGCTAACGTGAGTTATGTGCTAAGTGCGTTAGCATTCTTTCGCTTAGTGCTAATTCAGAGGCTCGGCGTTAGACTTGTGTTTTGTTTCTGTAAAATTGGTTCATATCGTCAGGTAGCTGAGTTTCTTCCCGTTAAGTGGGTATGACACATTCATAGTTTGTTAAATGTTAAGAAGCCCTGAGACGATGTTTCTTGCAAGATGTTGCGGGAGCCCCCGGGAGCCGGCCCCCGGGGGCGGGTTAATCCTCACAAATCCTCATAAATAAATACTTAGAGGAAACTAATAAGTTGGCACACGGCAGCAGCAGCATGAATCATCCTTTCATCCCTCCATTCATCCCTTCTTCCTGTCTCTCATCCCATTTTAGGAACAATGTGGTTCATACGTTAGTCTTTTTTCTTGGTGCCGTCTTGGGGCTTGTTTTCAGATTTGGCAGAGAAACACATGAGAAACATTTCAGTAAACATTCAGAGGATCAGAAACTGAATGTGTGTTTTGAATATCTCCAGATGAATTCAAAGAGGAGGCTAAACAACAGCCTGGTTCAGTATTTCATTCAGATGTGTTGATGCACGCAGTCACAGGTATACAGTCTGCTCTCTCTCCAGTTGATTACACACGGAGACCAGAGGGATTTCCCATAATGCATCGCTGTTCACACCTCACTACATCTACCTAGAG